TCTCTCTCTCTCTCTCTCTCTCTCTCTCTCTCTCTCTCTCTCTCTCTCTCTCATTGCATCATATACCTTTCCTTTCATTCTACCTTCGTCTACTCACTCTCTCTCCCTCTCGTCATCTCCTCCAGGTGGCGAAACCGCTGAGATGCCCTCCCTGTATGCAATTGGACAATACGACATGGCTGGCTACTGTGTGGGTCTGGTGGAGGAGTCGCGCGTTCTGCCCCGCTTCGATAGCTATCAGGCTGGGGATTTGCTTGTCGGTTTGCCCTCCTCGGGGCTCCACTGCGCCGGCTTCAATGAGCTGCTCACTCAATTGGCGGCGGCTGGCGTGAATCTCAAGGATCGCTCGCCAGTGGGCGGCGACAGTGGACTCAGCTTGGCTCAGGTGCTGGGCACGCCCACCCGACTCTATGTGCAGCAGCTGTTGCCACATCTGCAGGCTGGTGAGATAAAGGGCGTGGCCCACGTGACCCACGGACTGCTGCACGACGTGGAGCGGCTGCTGCCCGCTGGCTACGAAGTGACTGTGGACTTTGGGGCTGTGCCCGTGCCCCAAGTGTTTGGCTGGCTGGCCGGACAGCTGCGGCTGACGGCGCAGACATTGCTGGAGCGGCACAACTGTGGCATCGGCATGCTGCTGGTGCTGCCCCAGGCCAGCCGATTGTGGCGCACATCCCTGCCCGGCGCGAAGGTCCTGGGCATTCTGCAGTCACGTGCGGCGGGCGCGACTGGAGCCAGGATTCAAGTGCGCAACTTTGAGGAGCAGCTGGAGGAGTTGGCCCGGCCATTTGGCGGCTTGGGCAGCAATCAGTTGGCCTCGGAGGTTGTGGAGCTGACGGAGCCACTGCCCAGCACAGTGGTGCGCGAGGATTGCTTTGAGAATGCCAGCGGACGCCGTCTGACCCGCCTGCCCGCCCACTACACGGATCCCATCCTGATCCTGGGCACCGACGGCGTCGGCACCAAGCTAAAGATCGCCCAGCAGACGGGACGCAATGGCAGCGTTGGCATCGACCTGGTCGCCATGTGCGTCAACGACATCCTCTGCAATGGCGCCGAGCCCTTCAGCTTCTCCAGCTACTACGCCTGCGGCAAGTGGCAGCCCCAACTGGCCGCCGAGGTGGCGGCGGGCGTGCATGAAGGGGTGCGCCAGGCGAACAGCAGCTTTATCGGTGAGTTCCCAGCCAAATGAATCGTGATCTATGGTAGGCGGAATCTTGGAAACCCTAACTCTAATCCCCATCTGCCTTCATTTTCCATTTTCCAGATGCTCACTTGGCCGCCCTGCCGCTGCTGTACGAGCCGCAGGTCTACGATCTGGCTGGCTTTGCGCTGGGCATAGCAGAGGGAGGTGCGATATTGCCACGCCTGGACGAGATTCAGCCGGGAGATGTGCTCATTGGATTGCCCTCCTCGGGCGTGCACAGCAATGGCTTCAGCCTGGTGCACACGGTGCTCAAGCGGGCGGGCTTGGGCCTGTCGGATCGTGCTCCATTCAGTGAGCGCACGCTGGGCGAGGAGCTGCTCGTGCCGACGCGCATCTATGTGCAGGCCCTGGCGCCGCTGCTCGCCCAGGCCGGCCATGGCATCAAGGCGCTGGCCCACATCACTGGCGGCGGCCTGACCGAGAATATACCGCGTGTGCTGCGCAAGGAGCTGGCGGTGCGCCTCGATGCGAATCGCTTCCAGCTGCCGCCGGTGTTCGCCTGGCTGGCCCAGGCTGGGAATATCACGCCAGCCGAACTGCAGCGCACCTACAACTGCGGCCTGGGCCTGATCCTGGTGGTGGCGCCACAGCAGGCGGAGCTGGTGATGCAGCAGCTGCGCTACACGCAACGCGCCGTCGTGGTGGGCGAGGTCGTCGCCCGCAAGGATGCCCGCAAGCCGCAGGTGTTGGTGCAGCATTTCGACAGCCTGCTGGCGCGCAGTCAGCGGCTGCTGCTGGTGCCACGACGCCGCGTCGCTGTCCTCATCTCGGGCACCGGCAGCAATCTCCAGGCGCTGATCGATGCCTCGCGCGACTCTGCCCAGGCGCTGCACGCCGACATTCGGCTGGTGATTAGCAATAAGCCGGGCGTCCTGGGTCTGGAGCGTGCCAGCCGGGCGGGCATACCATCGTTGGTCATCTCCCATAAGGATTTCGCCAAGCGCGAGGATTACGATGCGGAGCTGACGCGTCACCTGGTCGCCGCACGCATCGATATCGTTTGCCTGGCCGGCTTTATGCGCGTCTTGAGCGCTCCCTTTGTGCGCCACTGGCGCGGACGTCTCATCAATATCCATCCGTCGCTGTTGCCCAAGTACCCGGGCCTGCATGTCCAGCAGCAGGCGCTCGAAGCGGGCGAATCCGAGTCCGGTTGCACCGTGCACTTTGTGGACGAGGGCGTCGACACGGGCGCCGTACTCCTCCAGGCCCCAGTGCCCATCCTCAAGGGCGACACGGTCGAGAGCCTGACCGGGCGCATTCACCAGGCCGAGCACTGGGCCTATCCGCGCGCTCTAGCCTTGCTGGCCAACGGTTCGCTTGCCCTGAATGCGGAGGGCAAGTGCGTCTCGAAGATCAACTAAAATTGAATATAGGGAATGGGGGAAATTCCTCAAGTTAGACAACATCCATTTGCATGGTATACGATATTATAATACATATATGTAAGTACTATATATTTACGTTTTTAATAAACTGTTTGTTAAACAACCAAGAGTATTTCTGTGCAGAGTACTCGACTACAAGATACCCAGTAGTCGGTCATGAATTGCTCAGCCGAACATGGCTTAAAAATACGAAGAACTGTTGATCTGCCAATGTTGAGCTTATAAATTTTTCTAAGTATTTGATATTAAATTATAAAATAGTTAAAATTAATTCCTTTAAGAACTACCTATAGAATATTTTCTCTAAAATACTTAAAGATTTCCTGTAAATATTTCCTCTATGTACCTCTAAATGTTTCCTTTAAAATACTTCCTTTAAGTATTTGCTCTAAGTATTTCCTGTAAGTATTTCTTCTGAGTATTTCCTTTGTCTTTTGTCCTTCTTTCGTCTAAGTATTTCATGAAAGCATTTTTTTGGGTATTCCCTCCAAGTAGGTCCCTAAAGTATTTCTTGTATTTCTTGTATTTCTTTTAAGCATTTCCTCTACCTCTCTACTTATCCTCAGTATTTCTTCTAAAATATTTTCTTTTAGTATTTCTTATCAGCACATTATCTAAATATTTTCTCCAAAATACTTACTTTATATGTTTCTTTGAAGTAATTCGTTCAAGTAATTCCTATAAAAGTATTTCCTATAAGTATTTACTGCCAGTATTTACTGCAAGCATTTACTGCAAGTATTTCTTCTAAGTATTTCTTCTAAGTATTTCTACTAAGTAATCCTTCCAAGTATGGCCTCCAAGTGCAAACGATCACAAACTTTACTTTACTTCACTTTACAGCACAGCCTGACTGACTTCCACCGGGTCTGAGCGACTGAAGAAATGCTGCAGCTGCTGCCCTTTATATAGGGCTACTTCCACTCAAACACTGAGTAGCGCTCAAATGTTGAGCCCAGAGCCACTCTCTGCTGCTGCAGTATTCTAGCTTCGTTCTACTCAAATACTAATACAATATAGACAACTTAAGTGATTCTCTGTAGCTCTTCCTCGGCCCTTGCAGATATACGAACAGACAGACGAACATAATAATGATAAGATAATTAGCGATTAGAGATTTTACTCTGAATTTATTTACATATAATGTTCCATATCACAATTAATGCTCTCTAACTAAATTTTTCCCAATTTTAATTGAAATAAATTCTCTCAATGTGAAGAGAATCAAATGGGATATTACAAAATGAATTATTTATGTGCTACTCAGGGATTTGATTATCATTTCAATTACGAGTTAAAATAATAATTCAGCTTCTGCTTTGGCTCTCAGTTTATTACATATCACGTTCCATATCACACTCTCCGTTTCCCTAACTACAATATCACCCACTATATTACAAATAGACTCTCTCGACTGCCTCACAGAAACATTGAGAACAGATTCACCATGAAGCCGCGCTCGCTGCCGGCTGGCTCCGGCTTGGCCTGCAGCTGTTGGGGTCTCTTCATGTTGCGCTTTAGGTCCGGCTCCTTGAACACGCTCTCGGCCAGCTTGTCCAGGGTCAGGCGAAAGTATTGATTCTCCAGTATGGGCACAATCAAATTGTATTTGTCTATGGTTTTATTCAGCTGCTTTATGTCATCCGCATGGAGTTGGGCAAACTGTTGCCAGGCCGCCTGCTCCTCCAGGGTGGCCAAGGGCCAGTCGCCGTAGTAGCAGCGCTCGTTGCGCAGCTGTTGCTTCAGCTTGGCCGCCGCTTCGCGTATGTCCCGGCTAAGTGTGATCCATTCCGGCGTGAAGCCATTGTCGAGCATTATTTTGTTCAGCTTGTGCGTGGTAAAGTCCAGATAGGGATTCTGGGTTTGGGCCAGCGACAGCGGCTTGCCGGCGCCATTTAGATTGTTGAAGTCGCCCTTGGACATGGCCTCCTGGATGAGATCCTCGACAACACGATCGATCCCATATTTCGTCTTGATCGCATGCTTGCCGTAGTAGCTGCCGCCTTTGCGCATTAGGGCGTGTTCGCCGGCCGCCGCCTTCTCCACGCGGTGTTCGAGGACACGCTCCTGGGCCTTCATGGCACGCACCTGCTGGTATTGCTTCTGGCGCTGGAAGGGCGTGCCCACGCCGATGCCCTCGTTGGAGAGATATTGACGATGCTGCGGCGCCGTGTGTCTTATATCGAACTCCAGTTCCTCGTCTTCGTTCTCGCTGATGTTGCGACGACTTTTGGCGAATTTCTCTTGCAGTATTTTGAATGCTTCGTCCACCTGCTGGAAGCGCTCGTTGCTTGCCTCATCGCTGTCGGCGTCGGGATGGACGCGCTTCACCAAATCCAAGTAGGCGCGACGCACTGTCTCCTGGTCGGCGGACTCATGGACGCCCAGGATGCGAAAGCATTGCTAAAGGTGAAACGAAGAAACATTACATAAAACTGTTTTTTTTTTTCTGGTACTCCCACTCACCTGGTAGAGTTCGCGTTTCTTCAGGTGCACGGCGCGTCTGCAGCTGGCGTTGAGGGGTTTTATTAAATTACTCAAAATGTATACAGTCGGCAACATTTTTTATATTCTAATAACTTCTAACTGTTGCTGTGACACAATAATTTGCCGGCTTGCTTTACATTCAATAAGCCAGTTTAAATATATATGTACATTTTTGTTATTCAATAAGTGGCAAACGACCAAAACAAAACAATCAAAACAAAATACAATTAACAGAATATTAACAGCACTCTGTTTTGTAATAGCAGCTGTTAAGTTTGGAGAGCAAACGCATATGAATTAACATTTCCAAATTATATTAAAAGAGCACATCAATATTAGTTGTCTTTATTTCTTTATTATTAAAATGCTATATACTCCAAATCCATATATAATAACTTGTAACAATACTGAGCAGCATACTGTCCTTGGCACCTATCATCTGTTGCATTTCAATTACAATGTTACATATTCTGTTAACCATTAAAGTAAGTCTGCTAACGATAAATTGAGCCTCTTAACAGTGTCGCTTATGACATTTATGACACACATTAAAACCTCGTATTTACTCAAAATGGCACTGTTCTCCTTGCCATTCTCATAAATCATCATGCTTAAGTAAGGCCGTCTTAGGCTTTTTAACATTTGTAGTGTGACCAGATTTTGAAATGGAAAACAGCTGTTGAAGTTTTGGCACACTTCGGTCACACAGTATAAAAAAAACTCGTTGCACACAACAGCAAAACACGCAACAAAAATTTATATTAATTCGATTTAACACAAAACGCATTACAATTCAAACTAAACAATAATAGCCAGCCATGTGCCTCAACTGGCCGAACATGTGCAAACCATGTGAAGTGCAATAAGCAATAGAAAATGTTTAATTTGAGCAACACACACATCTAAAAAATATATTTTTTCGTAAGTGTCGCAGAATTTACTAGTTGCTGTGTGTGCGTGCCCCACTCATGTGTGTTCGCGTGTGTGTGTGTGCGAGTGTGTGCATGAGTACGTGCGTATGTGCCTGTGTCAATGCGGACGTGTGTGAGTGACTTTGACTGCAGTTTACGTATGATTTATTTGTTGATTAAAATGTAATATAAATGTACTCTTATTAAATGTGCAAAAGGCAACAGCCGCGCCAATCACAACACAACAACAACCAATTTTGCTGCTATACAACACTGCATTAAGAAAAGAGAAACAAAAAAAAAATAGCAGCATGTCGCGTCGTTGTGTGTGTGTGTCGTCGTCGTCTCGTCACAGTCTGTCAGTGTATGTGTGTGTTCATTAGTGTTTGTGTTAAATAATGTTTAAATATTTTTTTAATTCGCACAAACTTTTATGTGTTGCAGTTCAAGAAAAGGTGAGTTATGTCATGTAAATAATTATCAACAAAAGCCTGACCAAGTCAAAAGTTCGTCAACAGTCGACCCTCCTCCTCTCCCCCCACAAAAACACTTATTCTCTCCTCTCTAGTTAGTACTCTCTCTCTTTTGCTGCTACTCTCTCGCTCTCGACTTCGCTCAGTTTAGGCAAGCGCGCTTTGTCTCTCTCTCTCTTAATTTCATTGCGCTTTGTTTTTAAGTGTCATTTTTTGTAATTGGCCTTTTTCCTTTTTTAAATTTTAATTTGCTATGCGCGATTCGCGCGCTTATTGTGAATGCGCACTACACACAAACAAACGTCAAATGTCAGACAAGCCGCTCTCGCTGTTATACGCTAACTCTCCCTTGCGCGCTCTTTCTCTCGATAGTGACAATGTTGTGTTTTTACATGTGTGTGTGTGAGTTTGATTTGTTTTTTTCTAATTTACCATTTACGTATAGCAAACAGCTTTAATCTTATATTTTAAGCACGTAACCTAACACATTTCACTATTCTTCCTAAATGTTTTTTGCTAGCTTCATCTTTTTTGCATTCATTTTGATTTGATTAGATGTGCCATACTCACAAACACTCACACACATACGCAAATCGTATTCTGATAAGATTTTAATTGTTTGAAACGGACATGCCAATAATAAATGCTGATATGAGAACGGAGAAGACTATTAGCTCGACTTTTACATGAGGGGAAAATGTTAAATCTGAAATTATAATTGTAGAGAAGATCGATGAGTGAAAACAATATATAAATTTCATAATTAATCGAAAATCGATAATTATTATTGCTGTAAGATTAAAGATGAGAACAAAAATCTAGCTAAGTAAATAAAATAACAAACTAATTATTTCGCGTGGTAATTGAAGATACCTTAGGGTCTTGAAAGCTAATGTCTCTTGTTTATTTACTTGTATTTGCTCAAGCCAGAAACTTATTAGAAACCAATAAACAACTAAAGAAAAGTGACGGCAATAACAAACAAATAAACAAACAAAAAGTATAACAGGCCGAACATTTATTGTTGATTTTCGCACGGTTTCAAATTCCAATGCTTTGGCAACACTAGCGCTAACTAGCAACACAAAACACAGATACGCGCGCACACACTCGTGCCCAAAAACAGCACACACACATTCGCATGTACACAGTCAATAGCTAGCAAAAGTAACAACAAACAACAGGCGAAAATGTCAGGCGGACTCTCTTTCTCTTCTTTTGTCGTTGTAGTCCACTCTCAAACATTCATTCACAATTTTACAGTAACAGACCACTGAAAGAGCGCACAAAATGGAATGCGCACATATAAATGAAACAAACATATGTTGTACTTACACAGTTTGCAAAGCCATATATTTACTGTAATTCAATAAAGTAAATGCGAAAAGAATTTTACTTACTGTATGATCATTGTTAACAGTCAACTCTCTCGAGTATTTTTTGTTCGTTTCCGACTCTCTCACATAAGGCAAATTTAACAGAGCGCGAGCGCCACCTGTTAATTAACAGTTGCCTAACATGCACAATTTGAGTCGACATGCTCTCTCTCTCTTGCTGGCAACAGAACGTAACATACCCGGTTAGCAGTTGGCGCCAGTGTAAGCAGTTTTTTATTAACAGTAACAGAACGTCGTCGCGCCGGATAAGATGTAAAAGCGAATAACGAAAATCGTGAAATTTTTTCCATCTACACGCGCCCGTCGAACCAATCACCATGCTAAATAAATAATAAAAATATATATATATTTATATATATAAAGAAAATTATTACATATAAGTGATGTGTAGCAATTGTAAAACAAGTGCAATAAATGAAGAGTTCATGCAAAGCAAATAGCAAATAAAAGTAAAATCAAATGCAAATGCAAAAGCAAAAGCAAATATAATACGTAAGTTGTGTTTATTAATTATTTATGAAAAAATCAACAACAAAATGAAACAACGCGTCACAATTGCCTTCTTCGTAGCGTCGTCGTCGTCGTTGTCGTTGTCGCAAGTAGAGCAACGCCGCGTTACCGTCGCCTGCCGCCCCTTTTGACCAACACACACAAACGCATATAAACATACACACAAACATATACATACATTTAAATGCGAATTATTTTTATTACCTCTCTCGTTCTCGCGAACTCTTGCGATCTGTGGCGCCTGCAAATGCTATGCAAATTAATTAAAGCGATAGATAAAACAACAACAATTAATGAAATCAATAGCAGCCGTCTCAGCCGCCACAACAGCATAAAATAAAAATTTCGCTTTCGCATAGACAGCAGCAACAACAGCAACAGAAAAACGGTACTGAAAAGTGAAATGCGCATTGACTTCAAAGCTGAATTTGTTGTTGTAAATTTTTCAAACGGCACTTGGCGCTCAATCGCGGGCTCTCTCGCTCGCGCGTAACGGAACTACCGCCAAGGTACTCGTGATGTTGTTTTTGTAGTTAGGCAGCGCCAAGCACAAAGCAAACGCCAAAAAACGGTTATGCGTGCGTTGCCCTTTGGGCTGCCTATGCCTATAACAACAACTGTTCGTAACATAATGAATGAAATACTACAAAAACAACTCTGCATAGACAATTCTTAGCATTCGCACACGCACACACACATATGTATATAAATATATGTGTTAATATGTATATACGCATGCCTAGGTGCACATACATAACTACAAAATTATTATGTTATTCGTCTTGAGGCTCATCTGCCATGTTTATGTTCTTAGTATGTAATTTGTGTGTGTGTATGTACGTGTATTTCTCTTGATTTCTATTTAACACCTGCTTTTTTCCATCAATGCGAGCCGCGCACTCAAATAAAGTCGCAGCTGCTCTAACAAAAACGTTGGCAACACACCTCATGTCTTGCATACCATGTGGTTGGCAACTCTACCTCTGTCTCATGCATATGCAATTACGATCAACAGCTGAACGAACAGCTAGACGTAAAGCAATGCAAGCGGAAAAATAACATCCTCGAGTGTGTGTGTGTGTATTGTTGTTGTGGTCTTGCTTGCAGAGGTTGACAACAATAGTTGGCAACACTGTTGCGTATATTAATATACTTAACAGCTGTTGTGAGAGTAAAAGAGTGAGAGAAAGAGAGCGCAAGAGTATAGAGATCAAATGTGAGAGCGTTTATTGTCCTTGGGTATTCAAGTAGTTGTTGTTGTTGTTTTTTTTTTTACAATTGGGTATGACGAACTTTGGGGCATTTGGTCACACTTTCCATGATTTTGTAAATTTGCAATCTTTAAATAATCAATTTCAATTTACAGCTCTAAAAAAATTGTATTAAAAAAAAAAATGAAAAAAGTAAAATAATAAAACGAAACAAAAACTAAAAGCGCCTCAACAAAAAGCAATAAAAAAAATGGAATTTTATTACATACCAACATAAATTGAAAAGTTAAATAAATAATGATATAAAACAAAATAAAAATTATGCAAATTTGTAGCCAATAGCTTTAACAAAATAATAAGCAAACGAACGCATAACATTTATGAGCAGAAAAATTCATAAAGCCTATACAAGTACGCCTTCCAATAGTTATATATACACATTATATACCGTTATATATACATACAATATGCATGCATTATATAGAAGATGATTATTATAAAGAAGATGATGATGATAATGAAAATGGCGATTCAAAATGGAAATTGTCTTAATTAGTTGATAAAAAGTGCGTTAATTCGAACGATGCAATCAAATCTTTAAATATTAACATATTAAATCGTATATATATATATATATATATATAAATATATACATTATTACTTATAAACATATATATAGATATTTGCATACATATATTTCTTATAACAACGAAAACAATTAGTAACTAATGAAAATTAAAAATAATTTATCAGCTTGCTTACAAAAATAAAATAAAAATCCATGCAATTACTTTAGCAAATTTACTTTAAACATAAAACCAAAATTTATCAAGAGACAAAAACAAAATACAACATTTAAAATCAGTGCAAATTCTAGAAATTTTTAAATAAGAAGAAGAAGAAACAACACACATTTTTTATATGTGCCCCAAGTGCTTAAACAACAACAACAACAAACGCAAATACCCAATAACACCAATGTAAAACATACAACCATAACCTCAATCATTACAGCAAATCGAGCAATATTACGGATAACAAATCATATAATAAATACAAAATACAAAATTTATTAAACTTAGTTGTTAAATGTTAACTAAAGAAGAACACCAACAAAAACAACGCCAGCAACCTGCCAGGAACACCAACACCAACAACAACTCATGCGGTGCCCAAAAGCCCAAAAAGCAACTAGAGAAGAAGCAGCAGCAGCAACAACAACAACAACAAGAAAAGAGCGACAAGCTAACGAGAGCAACGCCTCTCAAGAAATTCTCAGGAGTTGCTGTTGCCCCACTTGCATTAACATTGGATTAGTCACCCTTCCAATAATTCCCAAAGATAAAATTCCCAAAAACCAAATTGAGGCACTCATGTAGGGTCATTCGAATGTGAATGGAGAACGACACCAACCAACCAACTCCACCAACACCAACACCACCTCCACCACCACCAGCAGCAGCAGCAGCAACAACAACAACATCGATATCGATAGTCACGGGACATGGATATACATATGAAAAAATTAACTAAACCACGGTGAGTAAGTAAATTATTATTCATTCATAGATTCGTAATATATAAGAATTTGACTATCCAATTTGAACTGATTAGAACTTTTAGAAATTCTAATAAGACGCCAAGTCACTTATGTATATTCTTATGGGTTTCATATGCATATCTCTTTAAATCGTCAAATGCAAATGAATTGTGACCGGAAAGTAACGGGATTTCATTTTCGCAATTCTCTTTTTGCATTCTATTCTGAGCAAACAGTGGATATATGTACATATATAGCTTTTTCCAATAGAATACATTTGTTGTACTATAGGACAGCTATTTTAGGAGTGACTGTGGATAAGTTTATCATTCAGAATTAATAGAGATAGATATTTAGATATTTACAATCCCCATTTCGGAATTAAGCTTTAGAAAATTATAAAATTTATATAGTTTTATTTCTAGCTATTCCTCGAGCAAAGACAGAATATTGATGTTAATATTAATATTTACACTTTTATAATATGTTTCATAACTCTTGGCTTTAGATGGGGTTTCGTAAGGATCGTTTGTGTTTTGTAATTGAAGCAAATAACATTTGCCAATGTAACGTTCAATCTATGCCTAACCTCAATATGGTTGAGTTGGAGCAATACAAGAATGAAAGATATATATATATACATATATGTATGTATGTATATCGAATATATGCATATATAGACAGACATACATATATATTATGCATTTGCTATATCGTTGCTCATTCAATATGAATGTGAAGCCAAGCTGCTGGTGCCCCAATGCCACATTATACACACTCACACATATATACGTACGTTTGTATATGTATATACATATATATACTCACATAAGCTGCGGAAATACACATACATACATACATATTCTCGTCCAAGTTCCACAACTAAAAACTTTTCTCATTTCTGTGGCAACCCTTTTGAATCACACATACACATGCACATGCATACATATATGTGTGTGTATATATGTTTGTATAAATCTACTGTGCTTCTATTTTGTCTGCTTGGTTTTTTTATTTTTATTTCTACTGTCAATGAGCTGCAGCGACCACTAAAATGTATAATTGAAAATTGTACGCCCACATTACGACTTGAAATGCACAGACAATATAAGAGATTGAGACGGAACCAGGGCTAGACACCACCAAAGGGTGAGGTAGGTAGGAGAGTGTGTGTGTGGCGTAGAGGGGGCAAGGGAGATAGCACCAAAAATGGTCCCCAGTTGCTTTTAGCGCCAGGCAATAAACAGAGCGCAAGCAACAGCCGCACAATGCAAGATAACAGCTAGCAAAAAAGAGACAGAGACAAAGAGAGAGGGAGATAGAGATAGATAATGAGAGAGAGAGAGAGAGAGAGATAGACATAGCGTAAAAGAGTGCTGCCAAGTTTGCGGTTATTCTTTGCCCCTCTCTCCATTTAGTGCCCACCTTGACCAAAGTAGAAAAATCTAAAAGTTTTTTTCTTAAGCTTTTTTTCATGCTTAAATACATATACACAACTTAAACTTATACATATATAAATATGTATGTATATATTTTGCCGGCGTCGCCACGCACTGTTTCGCCTGCTGTTTTTTGCTCTGCCTCTGCTTCTGCTTCTTCTTCTTCTTCTTCTTGAGGCATTGTGTGCACTTTTCGCTGCAATTTGTCGAAAAGTTTTTACTGTGCGCGTAAAGTTTAACCATAACAGATTTCTTTTGCCGTCTATTTCTTGAGGGCCAAGAAGAGAAGCAGGAGCAAAAAGTATATATAAATATATAACTTAAGCAACTGCTCAATTTGCCACGCCCCCACATATAAACGCCCTTCTGTGGGCAGTTAACAAACGCATAAACCAGCCTAACTTAATTCGATAAACCAAAAAAGTTTTATTGGAT